ATGTTCTAACTGAGACTGTAAGTAATGCCACACAAATGTTATTTAATGTAATTAATTGCCAACGTTTCACAGCATGAAACTGAACATGAATCAGAAATGTAGACCTGAAAGACTTTTTTGGTCATTGGCCATTATCCTAAGCTATCTCATTCTGTGCTAGGCCAATATTCAGTATCAGTACCAAAGTTATTAATGAGTACTGTTCCATTCATTAATGAGATCATGTCCCATGAATGCCACGTCTTTACAGAGAAAGATAAAGTCTCTTTACTGTCCCCGTATTACCTGGTAATTTGACATGGTGTGCATGAAGCATGACTCCTGCATATGGTTGACGTCTTACAGTCTCACTAGTACATACAACTGGTTGTCGAAACTTTGAGTTGGTAAAAAATTTCATGCCCATATCCTGTAAAAAATGCATTTTAGTGTTGGCCATAACTATACTATAGCTGAGGTTTGTTCCATTCTTCCCTCTTTCCCATTACTGTCTTTCCACCACAGAGGTGCCCAGAGAAACCTATGCAGAGACTTGTGGGAGCTTTGTGCATGCTGGAAAGTCACAGTAGGCACCAGTCAGTGTAGAATAAAGGTCCATGAGAGCTGTCATGTATAAGCTTTACTAACTGTAATTTTCAGAGCTATCTAATAGGCAGAAACTCACTTCAACAGATTTAAGTAATGTACAGGACATTTACCCTTAGAAACTCATACACATCTGGGCCTAATCCAGACATTACAGGTGTGTAATACAAGCCTTTGTGAAAGATGTGGTCAGATGAGACACAAGGGTCTTGGCGGTCCTCTTCTAGATTGAACCCATTGAAGATGTAGCCTTGAAAGTCTTGCAGGGGATGCAGGCTGTAAATCTGTGAGGGGTAAGGAAACACAGAACCTGTGTGTGTTAATTCTAATTACATCATATGCTGCAAATTGCCAGAGCTGAGATGTCTGCCTGGTTGAAACCATGTTCTGTTTCCTGGATAGAGAACTGGCTGAATGGCTGGACCTAGAGGGCAGCGATTCAGCCAGTGGCACGAAGTCTAGTTGGAGGTCAGTAATTAGTGGTGTACTGCAGGGGTCCATACTGGTCCAGTCTGCGCAACATCTTCACTGATGTTCTGGATCTTGGGGCAGAGTGTTCCCTCAGCAAGTTTGCTGATGACACAAAACTGGGAAGAGTGGCAGAAATGCCAGAGGGTTGTGCTGCCAGAGACTGGTCACATGTTAAACTAAATCCCACATGAAAAAGGATTTCCAATAAACAAGAAACAAAACCTGTTTATTGCCTACTATAGATGGTTAATGATCAACACGTGCAAAACATGGTAGAAGTCTAACACAGTCTAATGAATTGAAGTGGAGAGACAGTATAATGGAGGAGGAAGAAGCAGTGGAAGAGGACAATGCGTTTGGGCAGCTTACCATTTCCACGGACAGCTCTGTCTCGGGCTTCAACAGCAGCATGCTCTGGTCCACGGCCCTCACAGCACAGAAGGAGTTGGCAGCAGCTTCAATTACCAAACTGACATTAGAAGCTGGATGCATCTGCTCTTCAGAGAACTGCAAGTGGACCTGTAATTTATCAAACAGGCATTGGTATGGTTAATCCATATTGCTTGGGGTTGCTCTGACTGTGTGTGTGAATGGAGGGAAAGAAGAATAGAGGGCTTTTCTGTTAAAGCACAGAGAGCCTGCCTGGAGAAAGGTGTCTGGTCTCCACTGCAACGCTTGACTGTTATAATGAGGACTTAGGCAATAAGCACACTTAGATTCCTGTGGTAGCTTAAATGAAGATACCACAAGTGATTTAAAATGAAGTAAGATTCTTATAAAATCTTATTATGACTCGACTACATGTACTAAACACTACAGTAAGCAAATAATATTTTTATTAGGTCCATGGTCCTCGTTAGCAAATACTTAAAACTGATTCTGTTTTGAATCTATTAAGACTGAAATCCATTTCACATTTGTGTTTGATAAGAGGGAAAAACGGGGGGGGATAACTAGAAACATATAACTAGAAACACTTTGTTAATCTCACTTTCTTTGTTTTCTCCTAAAGTTTCACTCTTTTTATAGCTTTTAGGAAACAAAGATTAGAAAAATCTTAGTGGTGGAATCTGATTGTAAAATGATAAGTGAAAATGTACCAGTGGAAAAAAAACCTCAGAAGAAAAACTGAAACCCTGGACTGCTATTTTTGCTTTCTTTTCTCTGTATGTTTAGTTCTGGTAAACCCAAACTTCATTTTTCAACAAAAATGTAAAAAAAATTAGATTAAATAGTGAAGTAGGATAAAGCTAGAATGTGTTCACTCTACTGAAGAAGAAACTATAAACTAAATGGAACACTAGTAGAGTTTAAGAGAGGCAAAGATCATTTGGGATTCTTGTGGGTTTTCTGAAAAGTTTTTAATGTTTAAAGAAGAATTACCTTTTGACAATATGGCCAGGAAGTAGTGGTAGAGGAAAGATATAAGGCCAAGGAGAAAAAATTAAGAATGAAACCAGTAACATTGAGACAAGTGAATGGAAACAAGAAATAAAACTGTAAATCTCTTGTGAATGTATACACAAAGAATTTATATTTATCTGACAGCGGGTAAGACTTGCTCTATGTTAGTGCCTCTCACCTTGTTTTTGAAACACTTTTCAACTGGAAATCGAACGCTGTCTGCCACCAGCTCCTTGGCAGGGTGTAAGGTATATACCAGCAACCGCAGCGTTGGAGCCATTTTCTCATTGACCACAAGTGGGATGGTGAAAGTGCCATTTTGTCCTGTTAGAAGGAAGAAAAGCACTAATAAGAAAAAGTTATCAAAGATCTGTTGTACTAGTAGCCATCTTCAACAGGCATGTAACTGTACCAGTCAGTGGAGCAATCTGAACTTTTTGCCAGGAGGTGACAGGCTAGGGTTTAGATCCAGATGCTCATATTTACTGTAGATTTGAATATGTGGCCATATTCACATAGGCCCCTACACCAGACACGCTGCATTCCCTATGTTATCCTATGGGAAGATCTTTAGAAGACACTATTTGACTAATATCACATTAACTAGTTGCTGGACCAAACCTGACTTTATAGTGATCTTAGTGGCACTGCTAGTATCATGCACACATGCATGGACGGAGAGGGATATGACCTTTCCAATAGCTGCTATATACATCCAGGAGACCTTGCCTTGGTTGGTTGAATCAACATTTTTTTTTTTTAAATGCAGGAATATGGATTAACGACTTAACTTACCAACTTGGATATTGGCTTTAATTTCCCCTGTAAGGACTATCTTGCCTTTTGCCATGCCCTGTGCAGAGAAGATCAAGAAATGTATGCATTAGTAGAAGCTGGAGGGAGAAAGCAGCAATCGAGTTCATTGTACATCGACAGCACAATCTACATTGAGATGATCTCAAAGGCTTAAACATAAGCCTTAGGGCATGTTGAATGCTGCCACTGCACCTGCTATTGCTGGGGCCCTTGTCCCTGCTCAGGAAGGAGAAGGAAAAGGAAGGGAAGAGGGACGCAGAGAAAACTATAAAGAGTTTCTTGCAGGAAATGGACAAGAACCCTGGCCTGAGAAGGGGTTTCTTACTATGAACTAGGGTAACATGGTCAGAAATGGGGGCCATTTTTCCTGAGTGAGTAGTTTTGCCAAACCACCTCAGTGCTGTGTCTGTCCTTGGGATGTTGCCATTGTGCTGGTTGATAATCCAAACTGCTGTAAATCCCTTGGATGGATTGCCAGACAGCTGCACAGTCAAGCCCTTTCAGCAAACCATGCCCCAACCCTATACTCACCACATAGTAGAAGTTCGTAGCGTTGATGTTCTCGTATCCTTCCATGTTTAAGATATAGTGCACAGTGATCATCCTCTTCTGCCCACAGCCCAGATCTTTCCATAAAGGCTCAATCCTCACAAAACTGCTAGTCCAAGAGTAAAAGCGCTGGATGGACACAGTCGCTTCTGGGTAGTAAGGCTCTATCCAGCCTTCATAGTGGCAGTGGTCACTGGTTTTATAAACTGCCTGATTACAGAGGGAGAGGGACAGAAAGGAAAACAAACATACATCACTAGCCTTGCAGAAAGCTATTGCATTGCAACAACTTGTGTGTTTTTCTCACTCTTTTTATGGTAATTTTTGAGAGCTCTAGAACATGAAATAAGATGGAGAAAGGACATTTTTATTACCAGAATTCAAACCTCATCCCATCTTTTTGGGGTTCAGTTTGAGAGTAGCCATCTTTCTCGGTGTCTCTATTCAGCCTTGTTTTGTACTCACTTTCAGGCTGATCTCAGGATCAAACATTTCAGATGTGTCAATGCTAAACTCTGCAACACCATTATCATCAGTGGTGAAGTTGTCTGTGTTCTTGTTATTGACAAATAGCTGAATAGCTTCATTGGAAATAGGAGAGTTGTCTTTGTCCACCAGCTTAATCTGTACAAGAGAATGTGAAATATGTTTAGCATATTGTACATCTGTACATAGCTACTAATGTTTTGCACTCCTTTGCTCTCCAAACAACAGAATTGCTTCTTCATCTTTCTCCAAAGCAATACTTGAGAACTGAAATATTTGTCTCTCATCACTTTCTGCCAGATATCTCAGCTATCTTATGAGGTTTCAAGCAGGAACCTCCTCAACATCTGCCACATCACTGATAAGGTTCTTTTTCAGAGAAAGAACTTCTCATGTCTCATCTCTTTCCTGGTCAGTCCCTTCTGACTACACATTTTCAGTTTAAAAGTATACTCTCTTTCCTCCCTTCCTTTTCTCCTTTCTTAGTCTTGAGAGTCTGCTGCTGATACTTTCAGTGTCTTAAGGCCTTTTCTCCGCATCTTTGTTTTGAACACTTTTCTGATTCTATCTACATTATCTCTGCTGTTTATGTGTTAAACAAACAAATAGGAAAATAACAGACACCATTAGGTAAATTCTCCATTGGTGGAAATGAGTGTTTTTTATTTTTTTTATATATTTTTTTTCAGAAAACGAACAGAGTGGGAGTGGGAACCAAGGGAGAAAATTACATAGACATCTCCCAGAGGGGAAAAAACAAACCACTTGAAAGACAATATCTTCTGTCCCTTCAGTGCTACTGGTAAGAGATGCCCCTATCCTTTCCTCATTGACAAAAGCTGAACTGAAGGAGAGAGATTTATCCCCAAGCTTTAAACCACTGACAGAGTTATGTGGGATTTGTCATAAAACATAAAATCATGAAAAAGCTTTTTGAGACTGAAACTGTTGCTATTTTTTGTGTGTAAGTCTTAAATTCCTGTTTTTATTCATCTCTGGCTGGAATGTGAGAGTCAGTTCTGAAGGGAGAGGCAGTGATTTGTAGCAAGCTCAAAATACAAGTTAGAAAAATGCTAGTTAATGAATTGTTTTGATTCAAAGTATTTCTGGCAGAATCAAACTCAGAATAAACTAACTCTTCAGTATCCAGAATTACCAGTAGGGCACTGTATGTAATAAAAAAGTTTGAGAAGAACATCTCTACCCCAAACAGTCCCCTAGATGTTCCTGTCAATCACTGTTGTTATGTGATTGCCTGTCAATCATCTTCAATACAAGCTCTCTGTTCTCTTGCTTACCTGTCCAAAGTAAGGAATTCCTCTTCTGTAGTGGTGATCCATGTTCTCAAACTGTATGCTGCTCATCACCCGAGTTACGGAAATTACCTGAGTAGCTGTAAGTTTGCAGGCCTGTAAGACATGTCCAGAGTCAAGAGAAGATTATACTTTGTCTTGCATATGGCTTCATCAGAGTTAGCATTTGTCTGGTGATGGTCACTGTGTTTCTAAAAATGGACCTTTCCTCAGGAAGACATCCTTGTAGTCAGCAAGCAGAGGCTGAAGATCTCATACTCTCCTTCTTGACCACACCCCTGTTGCTCTTTCTGACTGTCTAGAAGGGGTTACCTGTTCCTTTCTCTGTGACAATGGCTTTCACGTCAAGATTCCTCATGTAACCAGTGCGATTTAGATCAAAGATGTTGGAGCTGAAAACCTGGGAGAGGCAACCATCTGTGTTGAGCTGGAAAGGGAAGAAAACAAATCCTGTTTCCAAGGATCATGGCTTTCAAAGGATGTTTGACAATACACAGGACCCTTCTTTAGTTGGTGAAGTCTTTTCCCACTACTTTTAACATGATTTATACAGGACTAATAGAGACATAATTGTCTACGCTTTTCAGATGGGAAATTGCATCATGAGAAAGAAACATGTCAGTGCTATGGCAGGAAACCAAGAAGAGAAATGAGGTGTCCTGAGCTCCTAGCTTGTGATACAAGCAAATAGAGTGAGGCGAAGCATCAGAGGAAGAAAGAAAGGTGTGATGAGCAAAGAGAGAGAAGCAAAAATACAGGAGACAGGACAAGCATGAAGAGGAATAATAATTATATATCATACATTTTTGGTAAATGACTGACAAACTGGGCTTTTCTTGCACTTCCCATATGAATCAAAATCCCTGCACACACTGAGCTGGACTTGCCCTTCAACAGGCTGGCCATAGGTGTACCTAGGAAAAGAGGAAATAGGTCCATTAGCTGATGGTTGAAAAATAGACATAAGTTAACATTCGCAGGAATAGATATGGGACAAGCAGTGAGCTGGGAAGCCATGGAATAATTTCACAGGCTTTTTCCTAACTCTCCTGCTGTTACAAATTAGAAAATACAACTCAGAAATCAAAATGAGTTCTTTTTCATGCCTAAACCCATGAACAAGAAACACACCTTAAAAGTAAATACCTCTGTAAGTATGATGAACAAATATGGCTACTGACCAGATTATAACTGTTGTCTCTACTTTTCACCTTGGACTGCAGTTTTAGACTCACTGAAATTAAACTCCTCATATCTACAAGTGAACCAGGATTTCAACTGTGGATTCTAAATTAAAAGATCTTGGTGTTAAAGCAAGGTCCTTCTGAAGGACTAGTCTTGGAGGGGAGTCAGACAGCTGCAACCCTAACATCCCTGCTAGAATTTAATGATGCTCTGCTTTATGAAGGTCTCCTTCTGAAGTGGGTTATCAGTAGTTAACACATCCTACTTTGCTAGGGAACCTCTCAAAAGATTTATCCAATCCACTGAATCCTGGAACAGAATCCTCATACAATAAAATGAGATGAGGAACCAAGTAAGTAAAAGCTCCAACCACCAAGTCAACCTCAATCAGCCTCTTCTGAGGCCCTACATATTTTGATTTTTTCTCCAAGCCCCATTTCTTTTCCCAGTCCTTGGAAGTTCTTCCTCTTCAGCATATTTCCCAACAACTCTGCACCTTGTACTTACAATCCACAGACTTTCACTGCAAACTCCGAATCCAGGACTGTAAGGCTTTCTGGTGCAGTGACTGTGACATCAAATTTTGGCAACACTAAGACAAAAAATGAAAAGAAAAAAAATCCAACACTGGCACATTGTAAGCTTGCAGACCCTTCTGAGATGAAGTAAAAATGAGGATATATCATCAGTGTTAGTCAGATGAAATGGGACCTCAGAATAGACGTGCCAAGATAATAAAGAACTGGCCCAGTCTGTGAAGGCTTACTAAAGTATTTCTACAAAACTTTGAAGAGAAGACATGACTTCAGAGGTGAATCCTGTGATGTCTAGATACCTTGCAGAGCTTTGACCAAGATAGCTCATGGATATGATTGGGAAAAGTTTAGTTTGTCTCAATGAAATTTGCAATCCACTTACTGATTTCTTATGCAGACTTTTATTCTGCTGGCTGAGTATGTGCAAAATGAGTAATTTCTCTCTCTCTCTTTTTTTTTTTTTAACTGTTCTCTTTTCTTTTTTATCTCTACAGTTCTTAATGACAACTAATTGAAACTGCATTTGCCAGGAAGTTGTTTGAAGTTACAGCAGTAAAACAGTTGATTGATATGGGCTCATTTCTAATATTGTTTTCTACACTGAATAAAAACAATGGATGGCATTTACCATATTCCTCCACAAAGAATGAATGGTTTATTCTATCTCCTGACTTCTTTGCTATGATAATTTTGTAGTTCCCCAGAAGAGGTTCTTCAGTTAGTAGGAATTCTTTCTGGATAATGTTCATCTCTGATGCCACATTTTGCCACTGAAAGATCCTGTTGCCCCTTGGATCCTGAATAAAAAAAGAGTACAGACTCACAGGTTGTCTGCCTTGGAAATCTTTTGCTACCAGCACACAAAAATAGAACCAAAGAAGAAAATGGGACTTAAGCAAATTAAAGTTGTTTTAACTCACTGGAGAAGCTGCTTAATGCCCATGCATGGAGATTATTATGCCTTTGTACTCTGATTATTCATGTTGTTATTATTAATGTAGCTAGATTCTTATCTATTGTTCCCAGATTTAGGCATCCTCTACCACTTCACTTATTAGTCTCAGTTATCAGGGAAAGTTGTACAATACTGGTCTTTCCTGCTCTTTCCTGCTCTTTAGTATATGATGCTCTTCAGCCAAGTTTATCCCACACAAATCTTGGCCTTTAGCAACACCAATATCTTTTTTGCGGCTGCTGGGAGTAGGACAGGAGCATTTCTTCTGCAGTCACTGGGGTAGCATTTGCCTCTCAGTATTTATTATGGCTAGTTAAACTAAAGAAAACACATTCACACCATTTCCTTGACTCTTTAAAGCACAAACTTGAAGAAAAACACATGGAGAGCTCAAAATATGTATGTTTCACTGCAAAGAAAATAAAGTCATCTGACTTCATGGTATGACATGAAAACTTGTAAGAATGCTATCTAGACATGGACTGCAATTGTTACTTTAAAAATCACCAGAAAATGTCATGGCAGTACTAACATAGTATAGTAATTGTATTCACAGACTATATTTGTTCATAGCTTTTATCAGAACTTCAGTTACAAAAAAGTATATCCCAAAATAAGTTGAGCAAACTGGAGGAAGTAGAGAAGAGTCAAAGGCAGACACAAGAACACTAAAACTTTTGACTGCTGAAATAAATATAGGTGTGCTTTCCATGTTAGTCTGTCTCAAAAAGCATCCTTGGATGTTGTGATGTTTCTGGTAATTTCTGGTGGTGTACTTAGGAGCAAGATTTGTCTGCGTGTAGATATTTATAAACTTATATAAGCACATGTGCCTTAGATTTTATTATTATTTATATGCATAATGTAGTACAAAGAAAAAAATTCTTACCTCAATTGCAATCAGGGGGTACTGAAAGAGGAATAAACAAAGTGGAAGAAGAGATTAGGTGTCTGATCAAGCAGAAACTATTTTTTCTCAGGACTGTGAGACATATATAACCAATAGTTAGTATAATACCATTATTATCCCAATCTCTTATTTTAACAATTTTAATAGGAGTTTTACTTCATTAAGAAGCTTACATAAAGGGGAGAGATGAAATGAGAACATTGGGACAGTTTCTGATCATACTGGTGTTAGTGCAGTCCCAGAACATCTGAGTGAGTCCTCTGCATTACAGCCACATGAGAGAAGGACAGTAAAGAACCTTTCATCTATTGGCTTATGTACTATGAGCATGAAGAGAGATTGCTGGCAATGAAGAGAGTGCCTCTGAGGAGGTAAACAATTGTGGCAGCAACTTTTTTTTTTTCATTTCCCCCATTTCTAAAACAGGCAAAGTGCTAAGTGGATGACTTATTGATTCTTGCAAGGAACAATTGCTGAACAGTAGAAGCAGAAAGCTGGGTTTTCTTGTCAGAGCTAAAATAATGTCTGCAGCAACAAAGTGGAGGGGTTTTTTTGAGCCCTTTCCCAGTGATAGCAAAAGGTGGCTTGTCAGGAATTCAAATGGCTACACACTTGCCTTCTTCCCTGTGACTCTAACGTAGGGGTGGATTATAGCACATGCTTAAGAAATCATGTTAATTCTTTGGCATTTAGTGTCTGCAATATCTCATTTTATCTACATCAATCCTTCATTGAAAATTTGAGAAGAAGCTGTCTTTCAGCAATTTTAAATACAGGGGAATATTACTGATAACTCACCATCTCCTGAACAGGTTTAAAACTGAAATCCAGTGCAACAACACGAAACCTCACTGGAAAGGCAAGGAACAGGACGTTAGCATTAACCATAGTTTGTTTGGCTGA